GATTGCTTTATTGGTTCGAGCCTGCAGAGCGTGAAACAAGGACAAAAAAGTCACAGTTGCAAAGAGTTTGACTTTATTTTACATTAATCTTATTTGCCTTTTATGAAAACCTTGAATTTTATACACAACATATGTACAATGTTTGTTTTCAGTCAGTCTGAATAGTCGTGCATGCATTAAACAGGTTCCAAAATAGAAAAAAACTAAAGTTTCTGTACATGACTTTGATTTGTCTGGGCAGTGTAGTTTAAAGACACGACTCACTGTTTCACTGCATGAGTGGATGAGCTGTTTAACTGATAAAAATCTAACCAGCACATAAAACCAGCCCAACATGCAGCCATCACACTGAATACATCCAAACACATCTAAGAGAAAGATCAGCACCAATATCCGAAGTAAAGTCATTGCATCCAGTTGTAAAGGGAGAGGCACGAACGTCAAATAAATCCATGTGTTTCCATTCAGAGCCAATTAAAACAAGCCACGGGCTTCACAATAATTCAACAATGAAGTCTGTTAGTCACACCTGCAGAACAGAAGATCCAATAAAACCAAACCTACTCCAGCAATAAAACACAGAGATCAAATAATAACAGACACATTTGTCACACATCAGCTTATTAAATGTGACTTTTGGCAGGATTGCAATTTCTTTTTAAAACAGCTAAACGGCTTGTGCGGTTTTATCTTTGACAGCATGACATAAACCTCAATGCAAATTGTGTCGTTATAAAGAAATGAGTTAAAGCAAATGTAACTGATCGTATCTTGTTCTTCAGAAAAGGGGTTTTGTCAGCAGTCAGCTGTAAATCTGAAGAACAAAGTCATAAATACTCAGTTATCCAGTTATTTTTGGCAAAGGTACAACTCAGTGTTATCTGACTCTAGTGTAATGAAGAATAATGGGTCTTTGTGTTTGTTAAACATGGCGGACGTTTCCTAACATCACAACTGCTTGTTGTTCCTGAACAAACCTCCTGACATGGATGGATGACACCGACTGTGGTTGAACTTCGGAAACTAATCCTTTATGCAAACATGCAGCCGGTCATGTTTACAGCAGCAAAATGTCAACATGGGGTGATGGTCTCATGATGATTTCAGCACCTTGCACAGACAGATCACGCTGCACACACTTCATCCAAAGAGCTTCGTTACAAGATCATGGAGAAAACAAGTTTTTACGTGTGAAGAAAGGTCACCACCAGCATGTCCCCCGTTCACGCGTTACTGAGTGTGATGAAAATATTCATTTGAAGGAGGGAATCAATGTTTAGCATGTTTTCAATGATAACATGGACATATGGGGGTATGTGCAAAAAGCATGAATGCATCCCTGGAGTGATGACAAATAGAAAAAGTTTTGACTGAAGTTTGAGGTTTTTATTGAGAGAGAGAGAGAGAGAGAGAGAGAGAGAGAGAGAGAGATAGAGAGAGAGAGAGAGAGAGAGAGAGAGAGAGAGAGAGAGAGAGATAGAGAGAGAGAGAGAGAGAGAGAGAGAGAGAGAGAGAGAGAGAGAGAGAGAGAGAGAGAGAGAGAGAGAGAGAGAGAGAGAGAGAGAGAGAATGGCCATTAACGTTAATAGTAAAGCAAAGCTGTTTCCATGAAAATCTCTTTGTCTGAATTACTTAAGAAGGCATGACACATCAGGAGACAGATTACAAGGAATTATAAACACACACACACACACACACACACTCACACGTACGCTCACATACACAGATGGTTCGTGCATCTGTGAGTCACACAGACTCAGATGGTCTACAGCCCCTTGTGTTTTAGCCACCGTGCCTCATGGAAATAACCATCTTGAGTACATTAAAGCTAACATTGACTGCGTGTAGCTGCAAAGACATGGTTGGCTTATGCTGTAAATATGTCAGCCAACAATTTTTCTCAAAATCTTTTGTTTTTGCTTCTCCAGTCTAAAATACAGCAGATTGGAGGTAAATTTGAGTTTTCAGAGTGTAACTGATGGTTACACAGTAAACTTTACATGGTGGTGAGAGCACAACCGCTGCTTAGTAAACTTCAAAATGAATTAACTTCATATTATTCTGATCATAATTCATCTAAATTGTTTAAAATAGCTGCAAGTTTGATTATTATATTGCAGCCAGGACTGTGATTAGTCATGTTTGAGGGAACATAACCAAAGCTAATTTTAACAGAAAACGATCATTGGCCAGAATCCTCCGCACAATAGACCAAAGTGACCTGAGACTGTGTGGTTCGTAGCTGACATCTAATTAACTGCTTCGTCTCATGTTGGATTTGAATGGCATCTGTTCTTCAGAACACAGGATCAAGCAGAAAATGGAAAATGATGACGATGTTTTCATGAGCTGCAATCATATAACCGACATCCGGGATAAACTTGAAATTTGGCTTCATGAGCTGCAGAACAACACCAGACAAAGCTTAGGTTTGCCTGTCATGCCAAAACTCAGGGCAGACGTTTCTCAGCAGCCACTTTCCACCTTTTGATCTCGAGGTATGACATGACTTTTACTCAGACCCTTGCTGCTTATTAAAAATGCTTCCTTAATTGTGCATCATTTTCCTGAGAGGTTGTGCCGTTTGTGTGCCAAATAATGACGCCATGCTCCAGTGAGCTGTGTGGGATTCTCTCTGATTACGTCCTCAGCTGCATTTCGCAGCTTGTGTGTTTGTATCAGTCAGACAAGGAAATTAAAAACATGCTTAAGATTAAACAAGCAGAAGAAAACAGGAGCTGTTGTGAGATTATTTTTACCAGCATGAGAAGAAAAACCCCTAAATTAATGCATCGTTGTTTAAGTGGCACAAGACTCTAAACTCCTTGAACGTTTCCAGTAGCAGAAACTAAAGCCAGACCAGAAATTTCAGCTCAATGATTTGCTACTTGTCACCAGACATCAAAGTCAACAGCTCTTGGGTTTTGTTTTTTGCTGAAAAGCTGCATCAAAGAAGGCATGCAGCTGGAGGTCAGTGATGCAGCCTCAGCCGGTTTCTGAAGGTTTAAACACAAACTTCCTGCTAACCTAACCACTAGAATGACGTGCCGAGCAGAAATGTTGCATATCTATCAAGAAAAACATTCTGACAGTAAATCGTTGTGCCGGGACATACACCATCTAACTGTTGCATAGTTTAACCTGGAAGCCTGTTTCTGACTGACACCGATTTCCTTTACCGCCACTCTAATTACTCATGTTAGGGTCCTTTGTGAGGAAAAGCCGTCCTCCCAGAAGAGACACAGCGAGATATGGTGATGGAGCATGTTTCGTTATTAGAAGACAATCTGGAGAAGCAGCAAACCAATGTTTTGTTGTTTGTTCATGGATTAGTGTTGTCAAAGATTTGTGACTCCATCTTTTAGTTCTTTGATTTGTGACATCAAGAGGACCCAGTTGAAGTGGTTCAGGTGTCTGATTGGGACTCCTCCCTGGTGAGGTTTTCTTGGCATGTACAACATGGAGGAGGCCTAAAGATAGACCCAGGACACGTTGGAGGGACTATGTCTCTCGCCTGGCCAGGGAACACCTTGGGGTTCCCCTGGAAGAGCTGGCCCAAGTAGCTGGGGAGAGGGAAGTAAGGGCCTCTCGACGTAGGCCCCCGCAACCCGGCTCCGGATAAACAGAAGAAAATGGATGGAAGGAAGATTTATGATAACATTTGGTGCCATTTCTACTAGGTGGTGTGCATGTACTAGAGAAGGTTCTCAGTCATCCAGGTGATGGTAATCCAAAAGCCTTCATTTGAACCCTTTTGGATTGAAGTGTGCATAGTGACAGGTGGTAGCACTGTTGCCTCACAGCAAAAAGTCATGGGTTTGAATCGGGCCTGTGTGGCTTTTCTGTGTTGAGTTGTTCTCCCCATGCATGTGTGGGTCTTCTCTGGTCTCCTCCCACAGACCAAGAACATGCATGTCAGACTGACTGGTGACTCTGAAATTACCCTAGGTGTGAGTTAGTGTGTGATTTGTTGTGTGTCCTTGTGATGGCAAGGGATGGATGGATGGATGGATTAATGGATGGATGGATGGATGGATGGATGGATGGATGGATGGATGGATGGTTTATTGTGTGAATGTTAGATTGGTGGATATGTAGGCAGCAGTAGCTTAGAAGGCAGAGCGGGCTGTCCGATAATCAGAAGGTTGCAAGTTCAATCCCATCTCCCACCTGAGAATGCTGCTGTTGTGTCCCTGTGCAAAACACTCAACCCACCTAGTCTGCTGATCGTGTTCTGAGGGACCAGTGGTGCCAGTGCTCAGGAGCCTTGCCTCTGTCAGTGTGCCCCAGGGCAGCTGAGGCTATTGTAGCTCATAACAACCAGCATGCAAATGGGTAAATGACTGATTGTGTTGTGAGGTGAGGTGCCTTGGGGGGTTTCTCTAAGAAGGCACTATACAAATACAGGCTATTAGATAGATGGTTTACCGGATGTATGTTGAATGGATAGATGGACAGACGGACAGACAGAAGGATGTTACTGTGGTCTGTGTAAATTAGAATACTTTCAACAATTGCTGGGTTTGCATGAGTTGTCATCTTGAATTAAATTTATTCTATCTTTCCTTTCTTTCGTTGGCTTACTTAGAGTTGCTCAAGGTTTAGTTCCACTGATTTTAGCTTCAGCTGGATCTGGAAGAGATAAATGCTTAATTACAGGTTGGGTTGGGTCAAATAAAGGAAAACAATTATAGTAATAAGATTAACTACGCTCATATTTTATGACAGCCCTGGTACAACGAGCTTGTTGCTGACATTCTGAAGTGGAAAGTTCACATGAGAACGTCTCACCCTTCCAAACGTGGGTAAAATGATCACGTTCCAACTGAGGTTATCAAAACTGCCACGTGGACATCGGTCCAAACTGATCATGGGACCCTCACAGATGTGGAAAGTGAAAAAAACTGGAGCACCAGGGCATTAATGTTGGATTACTGCATCATATATATATATATATATATATATATATATATATATATATATATATATATATATATATATATAGTGGGATTTGGGTGAAGTTTTTTATTGTATTATTGTAGATTTTCTCTCTGCTTTACGAGACCAAATCTATACAGACTGGCCAGAATTATGACAAGTGATGCTGAAAGTCTTCGAAACCACAGCTTACACCTGTTTGTTTGTGATCATGGTTGACTGGTCTATCTCTGTATGAATAGGATTTGTCTCATGTTACCATACAGTAGTGATGATGTCCAGAAACACCAAAGCTTGAGCTATTATTAAACCTGCTGTTACACCAGTAACACCATCAGCATGGTCTTACTGATTCACCAGGCCCCTTCCTATAAACTTAACAATACACAACATTACTGTGCTGGCTTTAAAAATAACAGGATGTTAGATCACTCTTGTCAGCTTGGAAGGACTTTGGGATCACTCCGATCACAAATTGGGTCCAAACGAGTGTGCTCCCTGTTCAATGGGACATGTAGCCAATCAGAGGGCAAGGTGATGAAAGGTAGCTGCATACTCCTCCTGTATGTACACCCCTCCCATGTTTGTTTTCTCCAAAGTCACATTTGATCTCAAGGGATTTTGCAAACTACCCCATCTAACTGAGGATGTTGGGAATGTATGTAGGATTTGCCGTGTAACCACACGCCACACACCGTAGCACCAAAACTGGTATATCCATGATTTTCTTATTGCCACGTCTTGAAATTTGTTCAACAATTTTAAAATCCTGCGGTGAGAACCGGCCTAAGAAAGTAGGGACCAATACAGAAGCACCTGTTTAAACAAAAGACATGTTATATCTACACTAAATGGACAAGACAAATGTAAAGAAAGGTTTTGTGATCAGGTAATGTCACAACTGGGGGAGTCTAAGTGAGACTCAAACCTAAGAACACCAAACCAGCTGTCGAGCACGGAGGTGGTAGCATCATGTTGAGGTGCTGCTAGAACGGAACAATGGAAAAAGAAAATAACTTTCTTCCAGTTCCATAAATTCACCAGAAGTCAAAATAAACCCTTTGGCCTTTTGTGTTTTTGTAGACAGTTGGGTGCTCCAACTAACTCCAAAATAGGTGAACATTTGATCACAACATAGCGTGTGTGTGTGTGTGTGTGTGTGTGTGTGTGTGTGTGTGTGTGTGTGTGTGTGGGTGTGTGTGTTGCAACCACATAAACTAACAATTATGTTGAAGAAAGAAAGATATAACTTATTCTGGTCAAGCTTTGGGCAAAACTCCCATGTGTGTAATCACAGTGTTCAGTCGTCACTTCCCCTGATGCATGCAGGGATGTGACACATAACGACTTGAGTGCTGAGTTGCTCCCAAACTGTACTGAAGTTTAAAATTGCCGAAACCTGCAAAGAAATTTCAGCTAGAGCACCGAAGTCAAAGCTAGAGCGTTTGCCTCCTCAAAAGGCAAAGGAGGTGCTTGAAAAGCAGCCGACAGCAAATCAATCCACACTTCCTAATCCAAATGAAGAAATAATAGCAATGCGGTCCAGCCTTTGTCAGTGAAAAAGTGAGTTATGTCTGCATTTTCATTGGTTGTCCGTGGAATAACAGGTTGGACGTGCAGTCCACTCACAATCTGATTGAGTTAAATCCAGGGGTCTTCACATAAACTCAATTCGGTTTCTTCAGGAAAGAAGCTGTCCCATCACAAGTCCACACACATCTCCAGTAAAAGACACACAACACACGTGATAATGTGATGGACATAAACTAACTGCTGCCTAATGTCATGAAAGGAGGTGTTTTGTCATCTTATCTCCTTTTTCAATCAGGCAGACTGTGAAAAAACCTCAAACCACTGGAACCTCACCCCGACTCGTGGGGGTCTCTGGTCCTTGGTGAAGGGCAGGCCGACCTGAGCTGCTCCACAGCAGGACAGGTGCAACATTTATGCCTGTGTCAAACTGAAGATAGATGTGTGGACTTGGATGGAGGCAGGTCCAGCAGAGCCTGGACGGTTATTCCAACCTTCACCAGACCGCGTTCCTCCAGGATGTGATGAGGCAGACACAGTTTGTCCTGCGTTAACAGAGAGAGGTATCTCATTAGTTTCTCTTTGTGTTAAAAACAACACAGGTGTGGTGCACCACTGGCATTTATTTGTAAGATATTTGCGAAAAAGATTTTCTCAAATGATAAACCGTCATTGGCAGTGGAAAAGGGAATTCAATCAGTTAGGGGTTCACGTATTTACAACAGCAAACCAGATGGGTGAGAGCAGTACATAACTTGCAGAGATGGTAATCCTTTGTGTCATTTGCTGATTTGTGACAGATTTATTTGTGGTTAGTCATTTAGCCAAAGGTTATAACCCTGTATTCAATCTGGAAACAATAAGACCGTGAGTTATCATTACCTGTGTAACACCGAGCTTCTTACAGGCATCCAGGAAGTTTTCAACATTCCTGCGACACTTGGCCATGCTCAGCTTTGGCTGGAAACCACAACACGAGTTAAGGTAATTAGGTTACTTTGCTTTTTACGAGACAGAGACAAGGTTATACCTTTCAGTTGGCTTGACATGTTACAAAAATTTCCACTAGCCTTCTACGGAAGAGTCACAATGTTTGTGTGACGCGTTTTTTAAGCTGTTCTTACAGCCTAGTTTCTACTTCTCCATCTGCAAGTTTACACTCACGTATTACATACTTATTGACGGAGAAGTTTTACTTTTATTCTTCTTTGTTGGTGTGTCAGTGTTGCAAAGCAATTTTTCCACCAGGACAGCAGCCTCGTAGCGCTTTTCTGGGGTATCCATACCATCATTGCAGTCATGTCTTTAGTGTGTTTACATTTTGTTTATGTATTAGAGACTTTAAACACAGATTTATTTGTCTTCAATCCACTCCATGTTTGCCACACAAGATATCTTTGGCTCTTGTTTTATTTATTTTTTTGCTGTTGACAAAGTTAAAGGAAGCAGTATTCTGACTAATCAAAGGCTTGCAGACTTTATTGCTTTTGATGGATAGTTATAAAATTGGGCTCTACACTGTGTGTCTGTTGGAGAGCCCTTGCGTTGCATGTTGCTGCACCTCCGCAGATGGAGAAGTATAAACTAGGCTTAAGAATGAACAGACGGCAATTGACTGACACTCCATGAAACAACAGAAACAAGCTCCATGAAGACACCATAACATGTAGTTGTTAGCTAGAAGGCTAAAGGAGAGCTAATGTGTTGCCTCAGGAGAGTGAAAATGTCTTCAGTCTGACATATTTTACACCGAACAGCAAAGACGGTGCACACTCGTAATGTGTGCTTGTTGGGCAGGGGCGGCGTTAGGCCCGGCTTCTTGGGCTGAAGCCCCGGATGTTTCATAGAAAGCCCCAGATCTAAATCGCGGAAGTAACATGCAGTACCAAAGTCCAACAGAGAGGGAGCAGCTGGCAGTAGTTTGTATACAGCCTGCCTGAGCCTCCACCACTGAAGAAGAAGCCCTTCAGCAGCCGGCTTCTTCTGCACTCTCTGCCTGAAACGCATGAGTGAAGATGGACATAAGGACGTTTTTTAGACAAAAAGTACAACGACAGAACCCCAGCTTTGATGAGACTGGTGTTGACTCAGGTTTGTGAGCCTTATTTGAAAATATTTGTTGTGCTGCTGGTTTGCCTAAAGTTAGCTTACTATCATGTAAAGTTGCTGGAGAAAGAAAGGGAATATTTCATATCATCTCACACTAAACACTAACAGGAACAATACTCTGCCCTGAATATGTTTAATATGTAGCTTCAGATTAAAAATTATGTGGTACAAGACATAAATGATGTTGACTAGTGCGTGTCACGTGTGTGTGTGTGCGCGCGCGTGTGTTAAGCCCCGGATGTTCTTCAGTCCTTAATCCGCCCCTGTTGTTGGGTATTTTATGTGTTGAAAAAATAGATCTGCATTCAACACTGTGAATCTGGTACGCCACATTTGAAACAAACTTCTTTCTCTTTCGGCTTTTCCCTTCAGCTGTCACCACCTGCCTGCACTAAGCCGTAGTTTGTCACTAATGCTCTCAGCTCACTGCGGCAACTCGGACAAAAACAAGATACACTAATAAACAAAGAGAAATTGCACATAAACTGCTAAACATTGCGGTTTGTAATCTCTTGCTACCCTGGAAAGCCATTTTACATGTGTGAATATACAGTCTGGTCACAGGCCATTGAGAAAGCTCAGTCTTGAGGTGGAATCTGCGGTTGTCTTTCAAACGGTCTCTGCATGCTATTGGACAACAAACAACGTGATGCTGCGGATGTCAGTTCGCCAAACACTGTTGAAGAAGACACAAATACATCCTTTTTCTTAATAACAGACTTAAGTTCCTCTCTCTGCTCTTGACTCAAAGAAAATCCCAATTCTAAATAGTCCAAAGTTGAAGCCAAAGCCATTTAAAATGAGCCACCCTCATCGTAGTTGTTCCACTCCATCATACCACCCACCAATCTGATAAGAGTGCTGTGACTGGCAAGGCACAAGACTGTTTGGGGTCAGCTGAGGCTCTAATGGAGCGTGGCTAAATCGACATGAAGAGTAAAATCATTTTGCTTCAGCTCTTGTCTGTCTAGATTTTGAGTCTCCTGCAGCACCTTGGATAGTTACAGGTGTTGTACAAAAAAAAGTGCCGTCTATGGTGCTGTGTGCCTGCCCTGTCGCAGGACCATATTCACAATATCAACACGTTTCTTATCAATGTATTTCCTAAACAAGTGATGCTGTTTGGCAGATAAACTAAAGAAATGACAAATGACATAAAAACTAAAAGAAACAAAGCATGTGATCGCAACACCCCAGCTACCTGCTATTGTGTATTTGTATTTCAGACTTTTTAACATGAACACGTTCGTCTCTCATTCTCCTCTACCTTTTTCAAGCACATCTTTGTGCTCCTTCAGTGAAGGCTGTTCAAATTTTCAACTAGATATATCTTTGGCATTCAATTTTTGTGTTTGTTTGAATGGCGGTGCTGGTAAAGTAAGTGGTTTTCAGACCAATCATAAGCTTGCACTTGTGTCTCCAACATCCTCTGCAGGCCTGCTGCAGAGTGCTTGCCCCAACAGATGATGGTGTTGTGTGTCTCTGTACATCCGCGGATGGAGAGGTATAAACTAGGCTTTAATACACATCACATAAACATCGTGTGCCTCTTCTGAGGAAGGTTAGTGGAAATAGCTGTAAAATGTAAAGCCAACTTGAAGGTTAAACCTTTTCACTGATTTGTAAAAAAGAAAGAACGAGGACAGTATGATCATTCATAGTTATCATTCAAGGTACAGTAGTTTGCTAAATTTACCATAACATCAAGAGAAATGAAAACAGAAAACAAACTGAACATGCATGAAATTAAATCTCTACAGCCAAAACAAATAAAACTCAGCATGATCATTTATAGACTTACCACTGCAGGAGAAGGGACATGGATGCTGGAAACAGAGCGAGGGCAAATATGATTGGCCAAATGACAAAGGACAACTCCATCCATCAACGCAGCTCCGACATCGTCTGGAAGCAGCACCTTCAGTCTGGACTCAATGTTCTGCACACATTTATAATATTATTACATTAAAGTCCTCTGGAGAAGAAAGCTTTTGCAAAAGTAAAAATAGAATTCTGTTATGTAGAGATCTGGAACAAGATCAAATACAAGAAAATAAAGAAATGTATAAAAAAAATTTAATTTATATATATATAGATAGATATATACATATATACATATATCTATATATTTTTTTCCGCCTCAAAGTTCTGACTTAAACCTCTAGCTTCACATACCAACTGTTCCAGAAAGTTCCCATGTTATGGTTTAGCAGGAAAACGTGTTAACAACAAACTCTGGTTTTGGATCAGTGAAACAAGCAGCTGATCTTCATTTTAAAAAAAAAGTCTCAACACTTTACCAACTACGGAGGAAACAAACAAAACCTTCAAAGGTGTGGTTCACTTGAAAAACATTTTTTATGTATTCTTCCTGATTATAATCTGTCACTATGAGTTTTTCATGCAGGCTGAAAATGAAGATAGTCTCCTACACCTATCTCTTGCATTAGCTTCTGGTAGAAAATAGACAGCGAAACTCTAGGATTGGAAAAGCCAGACATGGACTAATCCATCTTGACTCGTGATGACAAAAGCTGTTGTTAGTTTAGCATCCAGCAAATAGCTGAGAACGTCTTGGCTAGTAGAAGCTAACTGTTAGCATTAGCGACTCCACAACATGACAGAACTCCTCCAGGCTTGTGTTACTTGTGGAGATAAAACATCAGGATTGCAAAGCAAATGGAATCTGTGGTAGAGTCAAATGCTGGTTTTATCTGATAAACAGCTGTTGTTTTAGAAACACAAAACAAAATCCTCCCTTTCTATATTTGGGATTTGCCAGATAGCCTTTATTTGCTATTTCAAGCGTTGCATTTGTTTGCTTTTACTTTCTACACCAAAATCAAAGATGTGATCCCAACTTTTTTTAATTTGGGCTTTTTTCTTGCTCTTGCTTTGTGACGTCAAGGGACCGGTGGCTTGACCCTTGAACTGTGACACTAGGAATACCAGATGTACTGCTTATGCAATAGGTGCTGGGATTGACCAGGGTGGCTATTTCATGGGAGCCGGTGAACTTAGGGTCAGCTTGTTGGATTCGGTCCACAGTGATGGGAGGAAAAGCCAGACTCGGCCCCCAGGTTGGTAAGACCATCCAGGGCGATGACGGTGGTGATGTTGTCAGATGTACAGTACAGGGCCCTGGGCTGGAAGGTGGTGGCCTGTGCCTTGATCCACACCTTTTGACAAGAAAAACCAGTTGCTGGGATGCAAGCACCTTTTCTTCTGGTTCCTGGGAGCTGAACAATGACAACTGGATCCAATAGCAGATTTCCAGCAGGGAGAGACTGGTTGAGAAGATGATGTGGAGATTGTGATTTCTGCCCAGAGCAGGAAGCAGGACTTGAGAGATGACTGGGTGGAGATGAAAGACCTCAAGTAGAAACCCAGATGTTGGTTGGCCTGCTCCACCTGCCCATTTGTCTGAGAATTGTATTCTGAAGAAAGACTGGTAGCAGCATCCACATGCCAACAGAACTAAACCAGCCAGTGAACTGGGGGGCCCTGTCGGAGCCAATGCCCATTGGGAATCAGTGCACACATCCATCTATTTGCAGCTTAGAATCGATTAGCCATACCAAACAGCAAACATTTTGTTTTTGCTATATTTAATGTAAGCTTATTTTCAATAAACCAGCCTTTTCCATCTGCTTGGTTTGGGTTTTTTTCCTCAACTTTTCAGTAGCTGCTCTGTTATGGTTCCAAGCAAACCCAGCTGTGGCGAAAACATGACTGTCAGTCCCTGATTGGCTTTGGGGTGAAGTGACAGGTAGATCCTGAGTTTTCTGCCTGCCGCCTTACTGCCCACAGCCATTCCTGGTTCAGGGTCAGCTCATCTCATGCTGTTTGCGGGTTCAGACAGGAAAATGTGCATATGTCAACCCTAACTCTAATATATAAAACATTAAAATGCACATTTTGTAATTCTGCATCATGACATTATAAGACAGTTAAATGAGAGCTTTGCTTTCTGTTTCAGCTCTGTCCTCACCACATAAGATTGTGTCACTGCCGACGCTGTCCCTGTCATCCCCCCTCCTTCCCTCACTGGTCGGTAAAACCCAGAGACTCTAATTGAAGCGGAGTTGGAAATCTAACCATTTCTGGTTGAGAATTATGACCTCAGATTGGAAGATCATCACACCAGCCCAAAAAACCCAAAGATCAGATCTGGGAATCGTGGATTTAGACGTCATTCATACTGAAAGACAACTCTGATATGTCTCCACGGGCTGTTAAATAAAAGCTTGATTGGCAAAAAATTTGGTACTGCTTCAAATTCTCACAAACTAGGATACGATGTGCCGTTAATCATCTAACACCACACTCCCCGTGGCTCACACGGGACCTCAGTCTGTTGATTTTGTGATAATACACCACAGCTGCACAGTAGAAGTGTTATGCAGACTTTTGTGTTAGCTGGAATTTAAAGTATTGACATTAAGGTCATAAATGAGATGTGACGCATCACTGAACAAAATGAGATGAGCCAGGACAGCTACCGTGAATAATGCGGCTCGGGTCCTCATAAACTGTTCAGTTATGATGTTTTTGTACTGCCAAGTAGGAACACTCCGTACCCTGGACATTTAGATTTCTTTTATTTACTCAAAGGGATAAACACCAGAATAAATCCAGGCTCTGGCAGTGTGAAGGCATGTGAAGGGTGAAAGGACACCAACAATCTGCGAGGCGTCTGACCTGCCGTAGAAGTCCGATCTGCTCCAGCTCCTCTCGTAAGTGCTCCATCTTCCTCCTTATGGTGAAACTGGGGTCGGTGGAGTTTAAGTCCTGAGGCTTCCCTCTGGTGAAGGCTGAGTTAACAATGAAACAAGCAGAGCGTTGCTCTGAGCTCCAGATAAAACACACAGAACAGTGCAAGCCAAACAAAGATTCCTAGAAAGAGCATCTCACTGACTATAACTCATGTCAGGATGTTTGCAGCCTGATTTATTTCAGCTAAATGAGGAAAACATTTTGTGCATGGTTTCTACGAAACCAGTATCAGTTTTTTATACCCACTTTAGGAAGACAGCAAAAATATATAGTTGTTTTACTCTTTACAGGCTTCATATATGAGTGAAAATGGATCTTCTTCAATTTATCACTCTTAAGCACGTTTGTGCTTGTTTAAAAAACTGTCTAAGTGAATTTCTCTTATAATAATGAAGCTGACACGTTTTTTAAAGCAAATTTACAAAACTAAGCTCCTTCAAGTTGAAACCAGCGACAGACAAAGGATGGTTCTTGCAGCAGGGAGGTAAAAACTCAAACATGATTAGAGCATGTCTGACTTGTCATTATGCAGATGAAAGAGTAAGCTGAAGCCAAATAGCCAAATGAAGCTGCACAGAAACACTTCAATTCAATTCAAGTTTATTTATATAGCGCCAAATCACGACAAGAGTCGTCTCAAGGCACTTCACATAATAAAAATTCCAATTCAGGTCAGTTCGTTAAGCCAATCAGAAATAATTTTTCCTATATAAGGAACCCAGCAAATTGCATCAAGTCACTGACTAGTGTCAGTGACTATACAGCAATCCTCATACCAAGCAAGCATAAAGCGACAGTGGAGAGGAAAACTCCCTTTTAACAGGAAGAAACCTCCAGAGAATCCTGGCTCAGTATAAGCAGCCATCCTCCACGACTCACTGGGGATCGAGAAGGCAGAGCAGACACACACACACACACACACACACACACACACACACACACACACACACACACACACACACACACACACACACACACACACACACACACACACACACACACACGTAATGTGTCTACAGTTATATTGTGATGTCTACTTCCACGGAAAAACTTTCCCCACTTCCAGGGAATCAACTCTGGAACCCCACCTAAAAAAATTGGCTTCAGATGTCGACCACAAACACACAAGACCTTGCTTCAACACCTAGAGGGTACGAAAGAACTTTAGTCAAGCACTTTTCTTTCTGAGAACATGTAAATGCACTGTGAACTAGTTATTTATAAACTCAAAAGGTTTCCAGGTAAGCTCATCAGTGTTACAAAATCTTGTTGGGTCTGAGCCTAAATATTTCCCTTTAGTCCATTTTAAGTCAATTCAAATGACCAGCTGGAAAAGGACTACAATTCCATAAAAATAATTTATTTCCCCTTTCTGGGTCAGCAGTTTCACAGAGAAGCCAGGAAACAAATTCACAGCTAAATTAGATAACAGTCAAGTTTAGGAGTGAAGAAAACCTACGTGACAATGAAGATGCAGAAATCATATTAGTAAAATACATTACGACCCAAATGGACTACACAAGCATCTTCTTCTTCTTCTGTAGTTTAAATGGTGGGTGGCATCCAACTTAAGGTGCAGTTCCGCCACCTACTGTGTAGGAGTGTGAGTCAGAGTGAGGAATACTAAAAAATATAAAAATTAAAAATAAATAAAATAAAAAAACGCTGTATTCTTTTAACTAAACTACTTTTCCTAAGGAATTCCAACACTAACTTATAAATTCCTTTATCCCCAATTAACAAAGTCCTTATACTCAATTATCCATGTCCTCTAACTTTAAATTTTTCTTTTAATATTTTTCTATATACCACATATTTACTACAATAACATAAAACATGCTCTACTGTTTCCCTATCTTTTCCACATTCACATAAACCAGTAGGATGTTTCCCTATTAAATGAAGAGTGCTGTTTAAACTTGTGTGTCCCATCCTTAACCTTGATATTATTGTTTGTTCCCTATTGTTAATTTCCATAATTTTCATCATACCCACCTTTCCCTGTCTATTAAATAAATGCCTTCCCTTTTCTCCCCTCACCCACATTTCTACACAAGCATACTGAGTAGACCAGGGGTATTCACTTCTGGGTCTGGAGGGTCGATATCTAGCACATTTTAGTTTAACTCTGTTTCAACACACCTGACTTCAATCAACAGGCAATTAACAGGCTTCTGCAGAGTTGCTGCACAGGAGATTCAAATAAACCACTGAATCAAGTGTGCTGGAGCAGAGAAACCACTAGAACGTGCTGGATACCAGCCCGCCAGGACCGGAATTGAATACCCCTGCCGTAGACCTTTCCTTCAAGCATTCATGAGAATCCATTTTTGTTGTTATCCACATTTGCTTTTGTCCACATTTCATTTTCCAGCTTGAGTTTTCAGTCTCTGTCTGCCTCAACTGATCATCTGCTCAAAGCTGCAAACCTCAGCCAGTGATACTCAGTTTCACCAGTAGGTGACACTAACACAGCATAGACGTTGAATTAGATTGTGTTTTAAAGTTTAAGTCTCATTAGGCATCATACAACTGGTGAAATTACACCTCTGCATTTCACCCATCTCTTGGGGTTTGCAGACACAGTCGTGCTCTGGAACCATTTGATGGTTTAAACCCCCCAGTTCAACCCCTTAATGCTGAATGTCAAGCAGGGAGGCATTGGATGCCCTTTTTAAGGTCTTTGGTATGACCCGACCGTGAATTTGAACCCCTCTGTTTCCATTCTAAGGGCATAAAATGAGAACAAACATGTTTTACTGCTATGGTTACAGGTATCAGTCCATCAGCCATCATTGATTGAGACAATGTAACATGAAGTGTACTTTTTGTACCTGCTCTGGGTTTCAGTCCAAACACTGTCAACGTGGTGCTGAAATCAGTGCCGCGTAAACTCTCCTGGGGACAGAAGCATCTATTATTTTCACATTCAGTAGACTTCAAATGTAAAGCACCATTACGAGAGTTTCTCCAACCCACCTCACAGTCATCATTGTCACTGGAGCATTTACGAGCACTCTGACACTTGTACTGTCGGGAGAAGAAAATCACATATTTGTGATGCTTTAAGTCTGAGCGTTTAACTCTTCTAACCCCTAAAACAGCTGTCGTGGATGGGTTTAGCTTTGGGTCGCATGATGGTGGTGATCTAAACCACCAGTTTGCTCAATGAGTGCTGCCTTTTAGGTTTCTTCCTTTACGAGTGGGTGATGGGGGAGTCTAAGGCCAATCCCAAAACTCGCACTTGCACCCTTGCGCCCTAAAATCGTGCATTCCCATCCAGGGGTGTGTGTGTGTGTAAGGTGTCCCAATTCTGAAGTGCAGAAGTTGACCACGCCCCCGTTGCACCCTTAACCTGCACTTCACTCAAGTCCGCAGCGATGCGGACCTCAGGCAAGGGTATTACCCACAAGGCATTGCTGCAGGAGAAAAGGCTCAAGTTCCTTTTCTTCAAATATGAATTTTCTAATGAAATTAGTTAATTTTGGGACAATTAGTTGATGCTCTAAACCTTTTAGACAAAGCAGCACTAAATGTAAATGTATTTCAAATAGCTGTTTGGCTGTTTGTTTAAAAGTTGTTAATAAAGGTTTTTGAAAAAAGTATCACAGCGACCAGCATCCCGGCATGCGTTGCGATCGATGACGCAATGCTCCCTGTCTCAATTCTGCAATGATTTGCACACTTGTGTACTACACACTCAAAGCCTACTGCACACTTTCTCCAAGTGCACTTTGCTGAAGTCTGCAGGGCGAGTATTGGGATTGGGCCTAACTTTTCCGGAATGCTTAAATTATGTTGCAACACTTGTAGCTTAAAGCTACGCTGTAGCATAATCTGGATTATCTTTTAAGGATTACTGCTTGTCAATGTATGAAATGTGCAAAAATAAAGAACTCTAAAGTGGAAGCTTGACATTGCACTTGGATATTGAAAATCATTCCCATATTCAGCTGCTCAGTGACTCAGAGGCTTGATAATCACTAATAAGACCAATAGTCTTCTGTTTTTTTCCTCACAAAATTCTCCAGAATTAGTTCTGACAGGTGTTCTTGGTATTCAAAGGTAACAAAATTATAAACTAAAGCCTAAATTATACTTCTCCGTCTGCATCGGGACGGACGCACGCAACGCCATTATCAGTCCTTGCGAGCCTGCTGGAGAGCCCTCGCGAGGACAAATGGAGCCGAACTCTCTTTTCTAAACATCCATCCGTCGAGACAGAGAACGCAAGCTTGTGATTGGTCAGGACACCGCTGTCATCTACACCGCTGCCATTGCGCCTTCAAAAACAAAGAGAGCCGAGGATATCTAGCAGCAGACATGGAGCAGCTTGAAGAATACGTCGTGGAAAAACTCTAAACTATGAACGTTTTACTCCCCCGTGACTGGAGAAAAGAAAAGCAAGCAAAAATTTTATTCATGGACGGAAATGATGGGAAACGTGGGTTTAGAGGTGGTGAGTGTATGAAGGGGTGGAGGAGAATGAGGGACCAATTTGTCTGTGTTAAAAAGTCTCTTAAATACAAAAAAAAATACAATATAAACACACTATCTTGGGCCAGATACATGACAGGACATCACATAACAGCACTAAGCCCTCAGCTGTCCTGGCAGGGAATTGCTTTGCAACACTCCCCAGGAGATGGAGAAGTATGAGGACAAAATGTCTCCGTCCGTGCGTGTGTGTGTCTCCCTCGTGGAGCTGACGGAGAAGTATAAATTAGGCATGAGCCAGTAGTGCTGACAAGAGACTCTTGTAAAACCGAACAATGACAAGAAGAAAGAAAGAAGCAAGCAGTAGTAGTGTCCAAATTAACATCATTAATGGTGACTGACAGGGTTATATGATTATAGGACTATGCCCACACCTGTACTTTTAGGTAATCTTTCCTGAGGTACTTGTTCTGCCTGCGGTCTTCATTCTGATGAAGAATGGGCGGCACGTCAGGCCACTTTGATTCTAAATCCAAATGTTCTGACTTCAAACTTCTGTCAAAGGAGCAGGAGGTAGAAGGCTGCAAAAGGATAAAGTTAACACACCAACACCATTTGGTTGTGCAGCGATTCTGCAGCCTGCCGAGTCTTTGCAATTACATGGATAACAGCATCATCATGCAGCACCTTTAAAACATTCAGATATCTTTAATCAGGATTTCTTTTTTTTTTCATCCATCTTAAGGTATGAATGAAACAAACTTCAACTAAAATATTTTAACATTTTATTTTTTTAATATTATATTTCCACTTCAGTGGCTAGCATGCGTTCTGGACACGAAAAAAAGCTTGACTCACTAGAGTCCAATGGGAGGTGCTCAAATGCCACAAAATCTTCAACAGCGTTGCTGAACAGCACAAAAACACTTTTGAGTAGCTGTCCACTGTAGTAACCATTACGCATGAAAGGGGTAATATGCAAGTGAAAAAAGGCAAAGATCTTAAAACTAAGCCCTGCGGAACACCCATTTTTTATAAATATGAACTCTTTTGTATCTTTTTTAGAGAAATACATTTTTTAGAATGAAGTAAAATACAGAAAAGAGAATTTAACATTTTAAGGATGGTTTGTTTACTTATTATGGGAAAATGTCTCATACCTGCCCACACAGCACTGATGCACTACTGCTCCCCTCGTCCAGAGAAGCACTAAAATAAAGACATCAGATGGCTAACAATTAGTGAATATTTTTATCACTTGAGGAAAATCACACCATTTTAGAGTGAGAAGTGGCTCAAAACAGACCATGTTCCAAAGTTTCTGCTGCTTTAATCCTTTAAATTTAAATGTTTCAGCATTTTAGGTGTGATATATTGATGTGTGTATTGATATATGAATGATGACGTAGGTGGCTGTTTATCTGTTGTATTTTTGGGATCTGGGTCAGATTTTGCTATTAAAAAATGTGTTGCTCTCTGGGCATTTATAATCAACAGCTTCCCATGCTGCAGGACAGGTGGTGGTGACTACAGGACTGTACCTACCTACGAGCAGTGTGAGGGGGCAGCCTCGGTTTGCTGCTGGAGCTTCCAGAATGACTGAGAAATCTGCAGACAGAAACAGGCAGTCCTTTCCTTATAACCCCTCACAAAAGCAAACAGGTAAAACCAATGCAGTTCCTATGAAATTATGCAATCAGGATGAATCACTGTAAACAGTTTGGTACTTTTGCTACTGGCCTGAAAAGGACCCGTGTCATAGTTAAAGGAAATTTCAGAATTTGAGCAACACCAAATTTCACCTGCATGATGAAACCAATAACATTCAGAACTTCTGCATTATGCATAAAATTAATTTAACAAGAACATCAATTCATGCAGGGCTGATGAAGATGAAGCAGACAGGCTGAATGAAAATTATTAGTGATTTTATTTATTTTTTGGTCACACAAACGGTGACAGAGCTACTGTACCTGTGAGCTCTGCCGGTCACTCTTCGTCGGTGAATAAGACTCTCTGCTCTGCAAATTAGGGGCCGCCGTCTAAAAGCATCACATTGAGCATGCAGCAGCAGGAAAAGGAGAACACGCAGAGAAAATAAGATATGGAGAAAAGGTTAGACTAATCAACAATTATAACAATTGTTTATCACACTTTTGATTGTTTTTTAATGGGGAACGAGGCAGTTTTGGCTTGCTTTTAGTACCCCCTAGTGTCTGTTTGTGGAACTGAAAGCAAAACCGTCAAATCTCCTCTGTGCGTTCATCTTTTTAACACCTTAATCTTACAGCTGAAATGTCCCCCGAGCCTTCAATAGGGTCTACAGGAGTGGTCCATCAATAAATTACACAAATCAGCTGTGTTCATGACTTCAAAAACGCAGGAAACGTGCTGGAATCAGACTGCAGCGCCAGGTACGTCAGCTCAATTTTTTCTAAGCCCGAACAGAGCGGCCTGCCAGTCTGAAGTTGCAAGTGGAATATTCTGGCAACAGGGGTGATAGGAGCTGGGTGGCATTTCATTGACACTGTAAAGGATCATTTTAGTGCATGCTGGCTCAAGAAAATGATTTAAAACTATGAAAAAGTTACAAAGTACCCTTTTAATAAATAAATGTGCAGTGGTCTTTAGCAGGAGGTGTGCCACATCAGAGCTGAGCTTCAGATGACAGGATTTGGACTCTTATTTCCTGATAAGTGGACACATAGCCTTGGATTTGAAAACCACAACTCTACTCTACCGCTGATTCTGTTCCGCAACATTGATGTTTTATCTCCACAAATACAAGTCTGAAGGAGTTATGCTGTGTGGTGGAGTTGCTCATGCTAAAGGGTAGCTTCTACTAGCAGATATGTTCTCTGCTTTTTCCTGGACGCTAAACAAACAACAGCCTTCCTCGCTGTAAGTCAAGATAGATGAGTCCATGAATGTTAACTTTCTATTCAGAGAGTTTCACCATCTACTTTCTATCAGAAGCTAATGCAGGAGACAGGTGTAGGAGACTATTTTCATGTTCAGCCTGCATGAAAAACTCAGAGTGACAGATTATAACCAGAAATAATGATTAAAAAAATGTTTTTCATTAATTTAATCACAGATAGCAACATTTAAGTTGGAAAACCAGATGTATTAGTTTGTTTATGAAGAAGAGAGCCAAGAACGATGAGTGAAAAGTGGATTTATTCAGCACAAAAAGCAGATCTGCTCGACGTCTGTCGTCACGCTACCAGAGCAGACAGATGTGGGTCTCACTCACCGGTTCTGCTGTTCCTGCTGCAAAAGCTGGACAGCAATCTTCCTCAAATCCAGCACCTCCTTCAGCTCATCATCCTCTTCCTCAGCAAGCTGCTCCTTATCAGAACTAGGAAAAATCAAGGATTCATTTAGGACTGATCAAATCCTAAGTTACTCACACGTTTGTGCAGTGTAAACATCACAACAAACACAGTCAGGCTGAAGAAAACACATGAACATCAGGACTTTACACGCCTTTCCAGAAGTTTATGATTGGCAGCACATACGCTGGCAATGTTTAGATAAGATGAGCCAAACCCGTCCACCAATTAAAACATCTGGTGCAGCAATCCATCAGCCGGAGGAGTAGGCCTTGGCATGCCATGTATATTTGTGAGAGGATGAAAGGTATTTTTCTGCCTACGTGAGCGGTAGACGATGAAACCACGCCGGACCTCATCAGGAGATGAGTGATAGTTTTTTTCACCGCATGTTTCCTGATTTGTCAGTGCTTATTAGTGGAGACCTTAAGGTTTTAATAAATCAACAAACATCACTGATTAGGCCGCCAGAAGGCAGAAGGTGAGGATTTTTGTAAAATAGATCATGAATTATTGAACCGACTCTGATCAAATCTTCAGGAAATAATCATTAACCCGCCTTGCCTGCTGGTGGTGGTCGGAGGGACCACTGGGACCAGTGTTGGGCAGTCTGGCTTCCGTCAGTACGGAGCAGCTGTGGTTACACTGTAGCTCATCATCACCAGGGTGTGAATGTGTGTGTGTGCATGGGTAGATGACTGATTCTGTTGTGAGGAGCTTTGGGGGTTGTAGAACCAAGAAGGCGCTATACAAATACAGGCCATTTACCATCAACCATAGGTCTACATATAAACCCAATTCAAGATGGCTGCTTATACTGTATATATGACAGCTTATCAACTACAAAGATGGCTACAGGTCTGTTGGTTTTCCATATATTGAGCAAATGTTTTTGTTTCAGATCTTGCATCGTCTGAAAATGTGCTAAATATTATTTTCATGATTTTTCGTGTGTGTGTGTGTGTGTGTGTGTGTGTGTGTGTGTGTGTGTGTGTGTGTGTGTGTGTGTGTGTGTGTGTGTGTGTGTGTATTAACATTTTTCTATCCTTGTTTCTAGTAAGGCTGAAACAAATCAGTCATTTTTTCGCTGTTCCATGTTTATTTTTGAGTGACAGAAACCTTTTCTTTTGGAGTCTGATGAAACCATCTGCTGCAGTTTGACCATTAAACTATTCACAGTTCAGACCAGCTCGGTTAGCATGCAAATGCTTGCTTCTTTTGCAGAGTAAAATGAAAAACATCATCTGGATAGAAGCATTTGTTCCGTCAGTCAGCATTGATAAACCCCTCACAGGTGGTGCAGGTTACAGGTATGTTCAGATGCTCTGTCGTACATCACAGAGCCAGACGGTTAAAGTGTGTTGATGCATAAATA